AACACATAACACATTGCAGTTTCTCAATTCCTGCTGTTATTATTGAGGTAAAACCATACTGTTAAAAACTCCTCACTATATTTTCTTTTCTTAACATTCTTCTCTACACGAATCATTGTTATGGGATAGTTTGATAATGAACATAATATATAACAATAGCTTTAATAATGCAAAAGATGATACGTGGCATAGTTCAGTCAATACAGTTTATTAAACTTTCCTATGATTTACCATTCTGTGTTGTTTTTTTATATACCTGTTACTGTCACAAGAGGGCAGTATTCACATCACCCACAGCTGAACATAAAAAGACCGATCAGTATTCAGATTAATTTCGGATGGTACAGATTTTTTGTTGTTGCAGTAGTTGATGATTTTACAGTACATGATTTTACATTTACCCAGTAATTATAATTCATGAAGTGTCGTTTTGCCTCCAGTACTGCTGCTTTCAACATAGCTGCTTTTAACAGAGTAGTTGCTTTCAACACAGCAGCTACTTTCTACACAGTTGCTGCTCTCTACACACGTGTGACTGGTCTGCATAAGTACATTATGGCGCCAACCCTGTCACATACACCTGTATTTTTACGGGGTGTATGAGATGGGCTTGGCACAATGATGTCATCACTCGGTGGGGGGGGCGGGTAGAAGGGGAGTTCTCCTATGTAGGCGTATCTGCATGTGGGCGGACCTGCCTGGAGACGGATAGAGGAGCGGTGTCTTGTTTCCTAAGTGTTTTCTGATGGTCTTAGGTGACCCCTGTGAAAGGGTCATTCGACCCCCAAAGGGGTCTCGACCCACAGGTTGAGAACCGCCACTTTAAATGTTTACAGGAGCAGAAAGCCTCCTGTGATGGAGCGGCTGGTGTGTTTGAACTGAAGACCTTGTGGGTAGGAAACAACTACAGCAGAGCTCCTCTTGCTGTGTAAATGCAGTATTCATTTATCCAGGAAGAACACATCACACACCAAGACACAGAAATTTCCTCTGGAGTGGATGACTGAGATGCCAGGACTGAAGCATCTAATGTGGCGGTGCCACTTTGGATATCCCTGTGGTTCAGGGCTCTCACTAAATTTTAATTCTGTGCTTCAGATACTAGTGGCATAAAATGCAACTGTTAAATGGAGAGATCACCTTCTCTATGGCCAACTTCTTCACCTAAAACAGAAGAGGCAAAAATTCCCCTCCTTAGTTTGATCTGTTTCTCTAAGCCAGACATCTTCCTGATTGGGTTGCCGATGTTCATTCTTTCCCTGACGAGAATCACGCCTGAGACTTCTCTACATTGCTAATCTCATTTTTGAAGTGTTGCCTCAAGGAAGCCTGCCAACTGCCTTCATTTTCTTTTCACTCTGTGTCCAACTGATTTGGAAAAAAATGAATAATAGTTCCTTACCATGTAAAGCCTAGTTAATGGATTTTAAAGAATTCTCTAGAAACTGAATAAGGGGCTACCAAAACTGGTTTGGGGGCCAAAGGATCTGCATATGTCTACTCCATTTATTGTTTGTTTCTATTTCATCGTGATTAAGTGCTTACAAAAGGCATAAAAACCCAAACCTCCAGTGGATGTGGTCTTTGAGGACAGGAATCATATTTTATTGTACTCAATTTCATACCTAGCATCCTAAGACAGGTACTTTGGACACGTGATCAGGAGAGATGAGGCCCGTAGAAGGACACCATACTTGGGAAAGTAGAGGGCAATGAAAAAGAGGAAGGTCCTCAACGAGATGCATTGAAACAGGGACTGGAACAATGGGCTTAAACACAAGAACCATCCTGAGGATGGGCAGTGTGTCATTCTGTTGTACATCGGGTCATAATGAGTAAGAACTGACTTGGTGGCACGTCAAAACAAGGGCTTTGCCATCATTAGCACAACATGGTGATTGTCTACAGTACAAAAGATGCTCAGATGACTAATGACGTTGACGTCTAAGACTCTTAGGACAGCCATCTCTATGGTGCTTTAAGGAGTTTTGTATGGGGAGTTTTCAACTTGTTCTGTCTGCATAAGAGTTTATATTTCTCAGAAGTAAGAAGATAGAGTTATTTCTTAATTAAGGTTCATCTTTGAGAAGCCTGATAGCGCAGAATAACAAAATAACTTATTTTTTTGTTAGTTTGATGATAGAATGATTCTGGGGTTTTAGGGGTTTTGGTTTTGGTTTTCTTAAAGATCGGGAGAAAAAATGAATTCTGGAAGACACTGGGACTTGAGAAACACAGTGGAAATGGACATTAAAGGTGTTTTATTTCTCCCAGGAAGCCAGAACTCAGGAAGAGTAGCATCTTTAACTCCTTACGGATGATTGCCCTCCCAGCTTGCACTTGAGTTTGAAATTCTGGACCCTTCCATTTGCTCTGTGCTCATGTATTCTGGCTTCCTCTTGAACAGGGGACTCTAGCCTCTCTTACTCCTTTATTTCCCATGGGTTAGGCCCCAGCTGCCAACTGGCCTTCAGTACTTCAGTCTGATAGACTGGCATCTTCTTTCCCAATGCCCTAATGGCTAAGATTTCAGGTCCTGGGCAATTGTCTCTAAAGAATTCCCTAGTTAGGGATTCTTAGCTTTGAATGCTCTCAGGACAGATATCATTTATAAGGACCCACTCTGGTCTGCCTGGAGTTAGGAGAAATTCCTGAACTGGTTAGCCAAAATCCCCATGTCTTTTTCTCCTACTTCACAAAGAACATTGGAAGTTTTATGGATAAAACCAACCTTATCTGGGAAATGAACTTGAGTCAGCTTATGTGTTTTTGTGTGTCTGCATTATTCAGTCTCCCCCAAGCAAAACAAACAAAACTAGTCCACAGAACTGACCAAAGAGATGTTCCTGGCCTCATGTAAGTAGTCTTGTGACTCATGAGAAAGCCTGGCTCCTGTGAGGAGAGACTGAGTGCACATGATAAAGCATCCAAAGTACAGTCTTCAAGAAGGAAGCGTACGTTTATTGGAACTTTAGGAAAAGAAGCAAAGCAGCATTGGCAATACAATGCTACATCCACCATTTCATATTTACAGAATTAAATTTTACATTAATCATCCACTGTGAGGCTCAAACAATGACAACACTTAGGGGTTTAGCACTAGCACTGTGGATATTTAATTGGAACAGTTCTAAAACACAAATCCTGTACCACTGGCTGACTATCAAGAAAATGCAAAACTCTGGGCTAGAGCCAACCCTCGTCTGCAGTATTGTTCGTTGCCATCGAGTCAGTCCTAGCTCATGACAGCTCCAGGCGTGCAGAGTACACTGCACTCCATGACGTTGCCAATATTGGGACTGTCTTCTGAAGTGCCTATGAGTGGGTTTGAACTACCAACCTTTGGTTAATAGTACTTAACCCTTTACACCATCCAAGGACTCCTTCATGCAAATCCTTAACATGCATTAGTGTAATTTTTTATTTAAATTATTTTACATAAAAATTGTGTATTTTCTTTATATCAAGTACTTAAACATTATTCTATGTCAGTGAAGTCTAGGGGAACCATTACAAGTAAATCAAGGGAAAATTGTAGGAAATATCTTTTATACCATTAGTCTTCATTTGTGGGTTTAAATATACTTACTATTCTTTAAGTTATGCCACTTAGATATAGTATGTTTGCATTCAAGAGATGGCTGAATATTTATTTCTTTAATAAAGGAGATGTTCATTATATTCTTCATTTGTGAGATAAAGAAACTGTATCTAGTAAGTTGAAATTTCTGAGTCTTTCTTCATTCTAATATGCTACAAAAATTTTTTTAATCATTTTATTGGGGGCTCTTACAACTCTTATCACAATCCATACATATATCCATTGTGTCAAGCACATCTGTACATACGTTGCTGTCATCATTTTCAAAACATTTTGCTTTCTACTTGAGCCCTTGGTAGCAGCTCATTTTCCCCTTCCCCCCTCCCTCCCACATGAACCCTTGATAATTTATTTTTTTTAATTTCATATCTTACACTGACCATTGTCTCTTCACCCACTTTTCTGTTGTCTGTCCCCTGGGAGGGGACCATACATCAATCATTGTGACTGATTCCCCCTTACTCCCCACCCTCTTCCCTTCCCCTCCTAGTATCGCTACTCCCATTATTGGTCCTGAGCTGTTTATCTGTCCTGAGTTCCCTGTGTTGGGAGCTCTGATCTGTGCCAGTGTACATGCTCTGGTCTAGCCAGGTTTGCAAGGTAGAATTGGGGTCATAATATTGGGGGAGGAGGGAAAGCATTAAAGAACTAGAGGAAAGTTGTATGTTTCATCAGTGCTACACTGCACCCTGATTGGCTCCTTGCTTCCTTGTGATCCTTCAATGAGGGGATGTCCAATTGTCTACAAATGGGCATTGGGTCTCCACTTTGCCCTCCCCCTCATTCACAAAGATATAATTTTTTTGTTCATGGTCTTTGATGCCTGATAGCTGATCCCGTCAACACCTCATGATCACACAGACTGGTGTGCTTCTTCCATGTGGGCTTTGTTGCTTCTCAGCTAGATGGTCACTTTTTTATCGTCAAGCCTTTAAGACCCTTTTGATAGCTGGGCACCATCAGCTTTCTTCAACACATTTGCTTATGAACCCATTTTGTCTTCAGAGATCATGTTGAGAAGGGTTACACAAATTAAAAGCTGAATTTTAGTGAGTGCAACTTAAAATATGCTTGGTTTTATTTATTTATATATTTATTTAACAAAAGAGTTTTACTCATTTTCAGCAGGACAAATTTAGAATTTGGTGGCCCGCTCCTTATCAGAGCACAGTGTGGACAGATAATTATAGAGAGCTTTGCTGTACTGCAGGGTAAATCCACTTATATCCTTTGTGGTATGCTCTCTATAAGAGCCATTATGTACTTGAGGTGAGAAAAATGCATTTAAAAAGAGAAAGTCAAATTATGCCAGTTAAAAGTAAAATCCCATGGGCATGCAAAGATATGGTGAAATTTCTGAATTACTGGTGGGAACTAATTGATTTTTCTTTCTCTTTAGGTTCAACATGGGAGAAGACATTTCGGCAAATTGGCTTTGAAAGGTAAACCCTATTTAGCATGGTTCCACATTTTTCTAGCAACGTAAAATTTTGTTTCATGTCATTAATAATGGTGCTTTATAAATCAATAATCTTGCCACCACTGTGTGACCTTGATCAAGTCATTTTGCACCTCCAAGCCTCCCTCAATTTCTTTATAATGTAGATCTTTTAATAGTTGCCTAAACAGAGTGAAAATATAGATTAACTGGAACAATTTGTGCCTACATAAACTATGAAGCATTGTACAAGGTAACTTGAATACTGAAGAGAATTGTGGGAAAGAGCTAAAGCTGTTTATAATTAGAGTTAACATTCCTCTATTTTCAATCCAAGAGCCCAGGTGGCTTACTGCTTATGCAAAGGGCTGCTAACTGCAAGGTCCTGAGAAGTTCAGAACCATCAGTCGCTCCTAATAGAAAGTCAGGCTTTCTATTCTCATCAAGCGTTACAGTCTCAGAAACTGACAAGGACAGTTCCACCGTGTCCTGCAGTGTTGCTGTGAGTTGGCATTGACTGGATGGCAATAAATTGTGTTTTGTTTTTTATCTTCAATCCGTGTATACCGTAGTTAATTCTATGGTTTTGATGGAGATAAAATTATATTGATATGGATGTTTCCCTAATTATTAAAATATTCAGATCTTATTAGCCACAAATTTAAGAGCTGAGATGATGTCATTCTTAAATAAAAATATACGTGCATGAATAAAGCAAAACAAACTCCAAACTCACTGCCATCGAGTTGATGCTGACTCAGCGAGCCTGGAGGACCAGGTAGACCTGCCCTTTGCGTTTCCAGGTGGGAACTCTGCAAGAGTAGAAAGTCCCTTTGTTCTCATTGCGGAGCAGCTGTTTGCTTTGAACTGCTGACCTTGAGGTTAGCAGCCCAACTCATAACCACGGCACCCCCAGGTCTCTGCTCTGCGTGAGTATCTCCCCCAAATGGACAGACAATCAGACTGTGGAAAGTGGAGAAAGGCCTACCATTGTCAAGTATTCAATCTTGCTTGGATTCATAATCAGTGTCCATGGATGGAAACCAGCAGTCAAAAGATCAAACAGCACATCGCACTGGGTAAATCTGCTATGCATGATCTCTTTAAAGTGTTGAAAAGCAAGGATATTACTTTGAAGACAAAGGTGTGCCTACCTCAAACCATGGTACTTTCAATACATTGAAAACCTCCTATACATTGAAAGCTGAACATTGAATAAGGAAAGCTAAAGGAGAATCGATGCCTTTGAATTATGGTGCTGGCAAAGAATATTGAAAGTGTTATGGACTTCCAAAAGGACAAACAGTTCTGTCTTGAGTGAACTGCAGCCAGAATGTTCCTGAGGCAAGAACAGCCAAACTTCCTCTCACATACTTTAGACATGTTATCAGGAGAGATGAGTCCCAGGAAAAGGACATCGTGCTTGGCGCAGTTGTGGGGCAGGGAAAAGAGGAAGTCCTCATCAGGATGGATCGGCACAGTGACTGCATCCATGGGCTCACATATAACCACTGTGAGGCTGGCATAGGACCAGCACTGTTTCGTTCTGTTGCACAGGGTCCCTATGAGTTGGAATTGACTCAGGGTCATGTAACAATTTCTCCCTAAACAGATAAACAAAGTTTGATTGGGTTAGTATAAAATCATAAACTGTAGAGGTAAAGCCAGCAAAGTCAAATCAGCCTTTCAGTTGAGGGACAGCCTTGTTACAGATCTCTGCTGCCGCCCTTGGGGTGTTACATTGAACTTTCTCTATAAGTACAGGTATGGAAAGAGAAAAGTAATTGTAAACCTATATTTGCATTCTAAAAGTAAATCTTTCGTGATAGTAAAAATGTATTGTATGTGGACGGTGATAGTGTGCCTAGCGCATTTTGGAGAATAGTTCTGTTATCACCAGGTCCAGAATGGTACTTGATTTTGCATATTTTAATTGATGGAACAATTTAATTATTTCTCAATATATACTTCCCTTCTTATTCAGCACAATTACATTTAGGTCTCACAGTTATGACGGTTGGTAGGATGGACGTATGGATGGATCACAGACAGTAGATAGATAAATGGATATCTGCCATTACAGTTATTCTGACTCACAAAATCTTGCATGCAATGGAAATATTTCCTTGTCTTGCAACATTCTTTTGATTGCCTTACATGTGAGTCATGTTTGGGGCTCCTATGTCAGTCCAGCTTTTTGAGGGTACCCTCACCCTTACTGGCATTGCACTTCACCAAACATGACAGCTTCTTCCAGCAACTGGACCTCCTAATAACTGCTAAACAGAATGAGGGTTCAAATCCACCAGTTGCTCTGCAGGTGAATGATGAGTTTCTCTGCCCCTGTCAAGATTTACGGCCTCAGAAACCCTTTATAGCATTGAACTGAGTCAAAATTGACTCAATGGCAGTAGGTTTAAGTTATTTGGGGATTTTTGGGGGGGTTGGATTCTTTTTTATATTATTTTTTAATGTTATTTTATTTTATTGGGGGCTCTTACAACTCTTATCATAATCCATACATACATCCATTGTGTCAAGCACATATGTACATATGTTGCCATCATCGTTTTCAAAACATTCCCTTACAGAAGGGTCACAAGGAAGAGACTAGGCAGAAAATATTTAAGCATTTTGAAATGTAGAGCTAATATTCATCTCTCGGAGTTATTATATATTAAAAGTTACAAGACTCGTTGTGGCAAGCAAATGATGTTAAACATGGCTTTGCTTATTTTCGTTTCCAATTTAGCCCGTTGTGTTTTTTGTTGGTTGGTTTGTTTTTCTTAGAGGGAACTCCATTTACATCGTAAGTGCCTCTCTCTGGTCCTTTGGAGCAGCTCTGAGAAGCAGTGACTGATGAGTGCCAGGCCCTCCTTTGAAGTGTTCCCATCACTCGGTGTGCCTGCAGTGGGCTCTGAAAGTGGCCGCATCAAAAGGAAAGAGAGCAAGGAGCCAGCTAGCACTTCAAAGCTTTCTCCAATGACAAGGAAGCAAAGCTGTCCTCTGCCATCACTTTGTAGCAAAAAGGAAGGCTCAGTGACCTGTCACATGCTCTCCGTACAGTACTGCTTGTAGGGGTAACAGCCACCTTTCCATGCTGTGGCACCCCGCCACTTGCTCTCTATAAAGTATCTTTCTTTTTACTAGAGAACACACACACTCCCACACACAAACACACACACACACACAAACACACACACACACTCATTTGCCTATAACATAGTTGACTCAAACAGAAAGGCATGTGCCTACAATATATTTTTATATTTTCATTTTTTAAAATTGTTTTATTAGGGGCTCATACAACTCTTATCACAAGCCATGCATACATCAATTGTGTAAAGCACATTTATACATTCATTGCCCTCATCATTCTCAAAATATTTCCTCTCCACTTAAGCCCCCGGCATTAGGTCCTCATTTTTCCATCCCTCCCTGTTCCCCCCTCCCTCATGAGCCCTTGATAATTTATCAATATAGTTTTATTTCAAGCACTTTTCTACACTATTTTTCTAAGATTGAAGTTAACGTATATCCAAATCACAGTCATTCATTAAGGTGATGCCACATAGGATACTTTATAAATCTATTGATATTCTGTGTGTTCTTAACTATTATATCAGTTGGGATAGCTTTGTTACCAAAAGAAAGGAGGGTGGCAAAAAACTTCAATTTTCCGGGACTTAGGGAAACAAATTTCTCACTCATGCACAATCTGCTGAAGAGAACATTTCTTCTCCCAATCAGTAGTACATTGCTATCTGTGATCAGATTATATCTATCCACCTTCAAGAATGATGAGGAAATTGAAGAATTCTGCCAACGACTTCAGTTGGACACTGATCAAAATTGCTATCAAGATGCACTAATAGTTACTGGTGACTGGAATGAAAAACTGGAAATAACGAAGAAGGAATAGTAGTTGGAAAATATGGACTTGGTGACAGAAATGAAGCTCGAGATCTCATGAGAGAAGTTTTCAAACCAACCACTTGTTCACAGCAAATACCTTTTCACAACACAAAAAGTGACTGGACACATAGACTTCCCCAGATGGGACACACAGAAATCAAATTGACTACATCTGTGTGGGAAGATATGATGGAGAAGCTTAATTTCAGCAGCTAAACCAGACCAGGCAAACTGTTGAACAAACCATCAATTACTAATATGTAAAAGGTCAGGATAAATCTGAAGAAATTAAAACAAATCCACAAGAGAGAAAACACAACCTTGGGTCTATCCCACCTGAATTTTGAGGACATTTTAAAAACAGATTTGCTGTATTGAACACCAGTGACAGAAAACCTGTTGAGCTGTGGGAGGAAATCAAGACCATAATTCCTGAAAATGCAAAAGATTATTAAAAAGACAAGAAAGAAAGAAAAGATCAAAGTTGATGTCAGAAGAGGCTTTGAAACTTGCTATTAATCATAGAATAGCTAAAGCAAATGGAAAAGAGGATGACGTCAAGGTCAAGGAGCTGGACAGAACATTTCAAAGGGCAGCTCACGAAGACACAGCCAAATATTATAATGAAATGTAATAATTCTAGGCAAGGGCCTAGAATTAGAAAACCAAAAGGTAAGAACATGCTCAGCATATCTGAAACGGTAAGAACTCTAGAAAAAACCCAAGCCTCAAATTGCAGTTTTGAAATTTTCTACAGACAAAATAATGAATTATGTAAGAATGCCAAGAGAAGACAGAAAGAATACAGATTCACTGTACCAAACAGAACTAGTACACAGCTTACTATTTCAGGAGGTGGCCACCTAGCCAGAACTCATGGTGCAGTAGGAAGAAGTCTAAGCTACATTGAAATCATTGACCAAAAACATGGCTTCAGGAATAGGTGGAATACCCACTGAAATATTTCATGAAGCTGAAGAAGCACTGGGAGCAATCATTCATTTATGCCAGGAAATTTGGAAGACAGTTGCCTGGCAACGGACTGGAAGAGATCCATATGTGTACTCATTCTAAGTAAAGGTGATCTAA